ACATTCAGAAGATAAGCAATACAATACTATAATAGATCTTATAATAAACTTTAGTGAAAAAACACAAGAAAAGGAAAAGAATATAGTAAGATTACTAGAAACAAACGAAATAACTCAAAATAAACAACAAAAGATATTAGAAAGATTAGGACAAAACTTTGATTTTCTAAAATCACAACAATTAGAACTAGATAGAAAAATCCAATACTTAAATAATAAGTTTAATATAGAACAAATACCTACAAAGACTGAAATAGGAAAACTAATAAAGACCATAACACAGAAGCCTAAAGAGTTAGAAATAAAAACAACAGAATTAATTGAAAAGATTACAGAACAAGTCGAACTAGTAACAACTGAGGTTATTGAGTTAAAAAAGACGATACAACAACTAGAAGATAAACTCCTTTCATGAACGATTTATGCCAAGAACCATCCTATACAAAAGCCTTAAAATTTGCAGGAAGTATCCAACCAGATCCACAAGGATTGTCTGACCACCAACCTTCAAGTAAATCAGATCAAATAATTATTAAACAGAATAACACTATAATAGTATTACTGATAGAATTAAATAAAAAACTAGATAAAATAATTAAAGAAAAAGAAGTTATAAAAGAACAACCTAAAAACACTGAAATAGAAGAATTAATAAATCAATTAAAAAATATTGAAATTACTCCACCTAAAGAGAAACCAACTATAGTTAGAAAATCCCAAAAATGGACTTTCTTTCAGGTAGAAGAACAACAACCGAAGAAAGACCACGAGTAAGTTTTTCCGATAATAGAATAGGAAATAGTTTTATATCAAGAATATTAACAAGAAATAAGCAAGAAGATAAACAAATCCAGGAGTTAAATGAAGTAATAGATATAGATAAAGACCTAAGAATATTCCAACAGAATCAGTTGAACCTACTAAACCCAAAGATATTATATGATACAGGATATTTTGAAAGAAGCAATCAGTTATATAGACATTATAGAGAAGAACAAATTTCAGCCATAGGAAAAGAAATAGCTACTATGAATTTAATAAACCCAGAATCCTTACGAGGAATTATACATAACAGACTAACATTAATGCACATGGGCTTAATAGTAGTAGGATTAAAAGGATTAACCAGAAAAAATCTAGGAACTAAAGTATTAATAGTAATATACGATGATAGATGGTCTGACTTAAAGAAATCGATCATAGGGTTAACAGAAGTAGATATGACCAATAATGGAGGAATATTTTATATTAGCCCAGATTTTATGATTAATCTAGGAGAATTCGGAAAGCACATAAAAATAGGAATCCAGACTAAAGGCTACGAAGAAATGAGTAGCGGAAATAATTTACTAATGTGTATAGGTTTCATTGGAAAAGTTGCATCTAAAAGTAATACAAGGTTTCGATTAAAGGTAGAAGATGTAGTAGAGGTAATGGGTAACAAAGGAATAAAATTAATAAAACCAATAAAAATAAATCCAGAAGAATATGCAGGATTAGAATGGAACCTAGAACAATTTAATAAAAAGAAAGTACTCATACCAGAATCTCATCTAATGTATACTAATACAAAAGGAGAAACATCTATTAGATTCACAAATTATAATTATTCTAATCAAACGAACTTAGAAGAAGAGTTAGAATTAGAAGAAGAAAAAGAGTTTATGAATATAGAAATAATACAAGAAGGATATGAAGTAGATGAAGCTTTGCAAGAAGCCGAAAGAAGATATAATAATAATACAGATATAACCTTTAAATGTAAAGGATGTAAAACAGGAAATATGGGTATATTTGAAGTAGACAGACATTTTAAAACATGCGAATTTAGAACTGATAATCTAGGATACAGAAAAGAATATAATAACCAAGACAAAATAGAAAATCTTGAAACAATACTAGAAAATCTGTATGAAAGTGAAGAGGAAATAGAAAGAGATTCTATAATAAGTCAAAAAGAGCTTATGGAATCTACTAGTTCAAGTGCTAGCCCGTTCCAACGAACTTCTCAACACCATACAGTAGACACAAGTATAGGAAATGTACCAAGAAGACGAGTCTATAGGGTAAACCCAGACACAGCAACTGAAAACGTAAGACCAATGGGTAGAAGGATGCCTATAGAAGAACCCATTAGGTTACAAGAAGGAGGAAGTAAAGGAAAAATATTAAACATAGCAGCACATGACCCTCAAATGTGGAATGCAGTAATAGATTTATGGAAAGGAATAGTAGTAGCAGACTATATAAAAACATACCAAGATGCAGACGCAGAAACAATGTATAAATATATGGAAACTTTTTTAGGAGAATCTGCAAAGGCCTTATGGGAAGCATATAAATCTAATTTCCCACAAGAATTCCAAGCTTTAGTAAACCTGGGAGCAAACCCGTATAATTTTACAAATAAAATACACAGTTTAATTACAGGAGAAGACCCTAATAGTGGCTTAGTAGTCTTACAAAGAAATGCTTTAATACACCTAGAACAGTTAAGTATTACAAGTTGGTTCCACATAAAAAACTTTCTTAAAGATTATTATTATTATTGTACAATTAGTGGGAATTCTTTTGATGAAGAATTAGGAAAAAAGTTATTTAATAAATTACCAGGAGCCTTAGGCAGAGAAATAGAAGAAAAATGGTATAAAAGAGAAGGAGTAATACAGAATCCAAACGGTAAATGGTCAATAGGACACAAAGTACAACATATAATGGAAGTCTTAACAGAAAAATGTACAAATATACAAATACAGAAACAATTAAAACAGAATGAAATGAGTTTCTGTAAAAATGTCATGTATACAACCCAAAGTTATGATAAAGGACAAAATAAACCCAAGAAAAGATACAAGAAATATAAACCCTACTATAATAAGCAGTATAATAAAAAATACTATTTAAGAAAATCTTCAGCCAGGAAACCTTATCTAAATAAAGATAGACATGTTCGAAAATATAGAAATGATAGAAATTATAAAAATAAGCTAGAATGCTTCACGTGTGGAAGTATAGAACATTTAGCAAATGTATGTCCTAAAAGAAATAATAGTAGAACTAGAAATTCTCAATTAATAGAAGATTTTCAAGAAACTTTAATTAATGTAGATGAATACATGTCAGACAATGAAAGCATATATTCTATAGTAAGTGTAGAAATAGAAGAAACAACACGATCTGATGAGTCAGATTCAGCTAATGAAGAATTAATAAATGAGATAGGACTAGAATTTAATAATATAGACTTAGAAGAATTACAAATAAATACAATGATGAATGTTTTACAAGAATGTACCCATGAATTTGAAAGGAATAAAGGAATAGATAGTAACCAATGTATTCTATGTAAATGGTATCCAAGTAGAGAAAAAAGGGCGAAATGTAAGTTTTGCTATGCTGAAGGATGTATCACATGCATAGAAAATCTGTTAAAAATAAAAATAGAAGGACGAGAAAAGATAGACATAAATAATGATACAATAAATTTACGATTAATAACATTAGAAAAATACACAACATATATATATATATGCTAGTGGGACCATTATTTTTCTATAAAAAAAAAGATTTACGCGCCTTTAACTTTTTTGCTTTTCTTTTTTTGCCACGTCATTTGTTAAGGTGGTATTAAATTCACACGAAATGAAATTAGGGGGGTAAATAAACACCCGTGTAGTTTAAGTGCTAAAGTAAGTTATGCTGCCAAGTTCAGGTTTTTTTTTATGTATTTTCTCTAATTTATTTATTTGATTTTAACCTGATGTAAAGTAATTTAAGAATTTTTTTTTTTTTATCTTATGATTTTAAATTATAGAAGGTGATTGAATTGACTTGTTTAATGTAGCTTTTAACTTTTAAAGTTTTTTATTTTTATTTTTAAAGGTGTTTAGAAAAGACAAATTTAAACACTTTCATCTAGACAAAAACAAAAAAAAACTATTTAAATAAAGTCAATTCAAACATCCTTTTTAAAATGCTTGTTAATTCTATATAAAAAAAAAATTAAGAAATTCATATATAATAAAAGAGAGAAATGGAAGAGAGCAAATAGTATTTGGAAACAATTTTTTTATTGGGCCAAAGAAAAACATTAGAAAAAAACAAACAAAAAAGGGTCAATAAAATTACACCAAAAGTAATACTGCCCTAAGCCAAAAATACATATTATCACCGTTTTAATTAATTTATTTGATTTTAACTTGATATGAAGTAATTTAAGAAAATATTTTTTTGATCTTATAATTTTAAATTATAGAAGGTGATTGAATTGACTTATTTAATGTAGCTTTTAACTTTTAAAATTATTAATTTTTATTTTTAAATGTGTATAGAAAAGACAAATTTAAACAATTTCATCTAGACAAAAACAAAAAAACAAAAAAAAATACTTAAATAAAGTCAATCAAAGTCCAAACATCCCTTTTTAAAATAGTTGTTAATTCTATAAAAATTAAATTTTAAAAAAATATTAAATTTAAAACAAACTAAAAAAGACAAATTCCAAATTTAGGAGAAAGCGTGTATCACAAATGACGACAATTGCCGCAAATGGCGTATGGCTTTAATAACATATCTTTTTCTTTTGCACTTTCCTTCATGAAAACTATTCAAAACGAATTTTATTTCGTTCACATTGAGCCGGCATCAACAAATACAAACACGGAAAATAAAATGAGACTATCTCAATAATTTTTGATAAAAAAATTTATATAATACTAAAGAATTGCATTTTTTAAAAAGTATTTAATAAGAATAAAGAGTCATACGGTGACTATTAGTTTACCAACGTGACTATTCATTTTTTTTCATTTATTATTTAGTAAATTGTGTACATAAATAAAAGAGATGTGGTTGAAAAAAAAAAGGTCAAAAATATCTCAAAGTAACAAAAATAAAATAACAATGTTGTGTTAAAGACGTGGCTAGATTTAATTAATAACAACAATAAGGGTCATTGAAGTCCTACTTCAGCTGTCATTTTGACTTTGTTAACAAGCCCCTTATTTCTCTCAAATCTCCACCATTTCTTCTGTTGGATTCTTCATCACTCTGCCTGTCAACTGGTTAGTTTTCCATTTCTAATGTCTAATTTCTTGCTTTTTAGTTATTTTTTTGGTTATTTATTCAAGTTTGAAAGGTTTAAAATTTGTATTCTAAATTGCTAATTGGCTTCGGTTTTGACAGTTGAATTGAATTGAATTTTTCGATTAGTTTAAGTCTAGTTTAGTTTTATCGATTTTTGGGGTAAAAGGGGAAGGATATGAAGGAGTTGACATTGCAGATGAAGTGTTTGATGAAAGTGAGAGATCTGGACCAAAAGCTAATCTTATCATCTTCTGACAGTTTATTTCTTTCCTTGCATAGAGAGAGAAGTTTAGGCCATAACCCTTTGTAATAAACAAGTTTACAAACACTTCAACTATGAAAAAGGAAATTACACCAACATATGTCCCTTTGGGACATCTCCCATAAAATTGGAATGGTACAGAGAATTTTAGCATGACGACATGCACAAATCGAGAAATAGTTCAAATTTTTCTTCATCGGAAAACCAACATGCTATCTGGTTTCACAAGGTGGGGGTATAAAGAGGGTAGAGTACTAGAGTGTATGTAGACTTTACCGCTACCTAGGACCTAGGGTGTCAAATGGGTGGGTTGGGTTGGGTTGAAATTTGATATATTAAAATGGGTTGAAATAGAAATCGGGTTGAGTCATGGCTCCCTAAAGTTTACTTTGGGCTTAAATGGGCTGGACTCAAATGGACAAAAAAACGGGTTGGGTCATGACCCGCTTAATCTCAATAATTTTAACATATTGTTATTTAACTTTTATAGTTACAATTTGAATATCAACTCCAGAAAATTATTTAAAAAAAATTACAAATGGATAGATAAATCCTATAAAATTTAAATACAAGAACATACATTACATCAATACAATTAAGAGTTTAAAACAGGTTGAAATTGGAGATTAAATTGGGCTCAATTGAAAATTCTTTTAAGATGTGTTAGGCTTAATGTATTGAGATTGAACCCAATTCAAATCATCTTGAGTCAAACCCATAAAATTCTGAGCGGGTAGCTATGTTTGGGCTCATTTTTACACCCCTACCACACTACCTCTTACAACTCAACTCAATATATGTTAACTGCTGCGATTAATAAGTGCCTGTTAGAATTAGCTTTTTCGCAGGTGTTCTCAAGGCAAAATAGCTTTTAAACACTTGAGTGTTTGGGTAAAATAAAAAAGTGCATTTAAGTATTTGTTTTTAAGGCGGCATAAAACTAAAAAATATAAGTCAAAAGTCATAAGTTAGGATTTTCACCTTTTTCCTTATGCTTATAAGCTATAAGCCATCTAAACAGGTCATAACAATGGAATGGAAAGATTAAACTGGAAAGGAAATCCACTCTCTTGTTGCGCTGTTTAATTCTCTTACTTAGCTTCAAACTCACCTCAGGCCCATGTCCACCATTGACTGTGTTATGACTTGCTTGGTCTTCCAAGTCCACAGTTGGGTTCATAACAATAACCTCATCCTCACTAAGAACCTTGTCCTCAAGGTTCAAGATAAGATATCTAGTGATTGCAGAAGGAAAAGAAAACTTCAATGTGTTCTACAACGTGTTCAAGAGAACAAGCAGAAGTCTATAGAAAATGAACTCTTCCACCCCATTTTCTCACAGAATGTAATAGTCCTTGTGCAACACTCTTTATAGTTCCAGTTGTCACTTCCAAGAATAGGCAACGTTTCAACAACCCCATTGATTCTCCAGTAAAAGCAAAGCATTCTCCGGCAAACACACGAGCAGTTGGCTCGTCCAATTTCCATTACAAAACCCCCTAAATGACAATGCAATGATACGGTAGAAACATTATTAAGAACATAGTCAATAGAGCAATTCGGCTGATGCACAAAATCCTCACTTGACATAAACTCCTCAGGAACCTTTTGATAGACAATTATGAGTATCTTATGCTAGCGAAACTGGAAGAATGTGGCTGAGATGGTTCTGGAACTCAATGTAATTATTATGCAAAAGATAAGGTAATATGGCATCTAATTGGAGGACTCAGATCTTGTGTCACAGACTTTTCATGTACCTAACTAATGTACTTCTATTTAGACTCCCAACAACTTGTTGTGGAGATTGATCAGCTAAATCAAATTCCACATTAGTCCTTTCAATCTGGACAGTCTCACACCTTTTTCAGAGAACCAACAGAAATCATATATTTTTTGGTAATAAACATGACATGGTTTTATGAGAAAGAAAATGATTAGCTATTAAAATGAAAGAGTGAGTTACTATTGTCTGGAAAGAAGGGAGTGCCATGTGAACAAATCCAAATTAGTTTGGTAAGTTTGTCCCTCTCTCTATATTCTTATGGGCCCCTACTCCCTCCCCACTTCCCTTTCAAAAATGAGATTTATTATGTAGTTCCAAGTGAATGAAAGCATCTCTCTCCCGCCTCTCCTTTGCCGGAGATTCAATTTTTTAGCATTTTCCTCTCAAAATCATTAGCTTTCTTTTTGTCTTTCCTGCTTTGTCCCCCCAAGTTGAGCCCTTTCTCCCTGCATTTTGCAAAACTTAGTTCCTTTTGTTAATTGTTCTTTTGGGGATTTTCTGATTGAAATCATTTATTGAATCTTTGTATGTGTCCATGAATATTGTCTTTACTGAATCTACTTTCAATCTCTTAATTATCTGATTTGGGTATGACCATACATTCCTCCTCCCCACTTCATATTATTATCTTGAAAATCAACGCTTTGTATTTCGTTACCTATCTGTTGAAATATAATTTCTTAGTTATATATCGTAATTGACTATCTTTTACGCATGAAAAATAATTAAAGATTTGAGATGAATGGCTTACTTGTAGTTCTTATATTTTTTTTGGACAGGCATGATATGAGGAAGAACACTAACACGTGAATATAGCCGTCGACAGTTGTGGGATTAGATATCGAACTTCCCGTGCTCCTTCTGTGTGTGGCGTCCACGGGAGGTGCATAGTTGTTTATTTTTTTCTGCTGGCCTGTTGGGCTTGTCAAATTGGTCGTTATATAAAATGGAACTTTTCATCGTTTCATAAAGATGAATTTGACAAGACATACAATAAAATTTAAGTAATGATCAAAACAAACATTGTATTTAAAGTAACAAATGAGAGACAACAACCATCAGAAATTAAGTATTCAAAAAGAATTTTAACCTTCATCATAGCAGATATCGAAGTGAAGTAGTAGAAATACCTTTTGTTCCATACTTGTTAAACATGTTATTCCAAAACAAAGAAACATATATCCTACTGAGGTTGACTTTTGATAGTTTGGCTTACGTCACCTTTATGATTATGCAGGCAATCTTTTTTAACTTTTTTGAGTTGAGGGGTTTGTATTGAATAACAAGCTCGACAGAATGGCATCAACGTTTGTAAGATATCTCTGTTCCATAACTTTACAGTTAACATGTTGAATGAGTATTGCTTGCCTTGTCTAAGTTTGCTCTCTTTACTTTCTGATATGTTTTTATTGTCCATGAGATTAAGAGTGAGTTCCCTTTTCAGGTGAAGTCTAGTAAGATGAAGAGGATGGAGTCGAAGAAATCACATGCTTGGTGGTGGGATAGCCACATTAATCCCAAAAACTGCAAGTGGCTTCAAGAGAATCTTGAACGTAAGCTATTGTCTTCTTTAACCTTACTTATCCTTGTCAAATCCTTTAATTTCGTATTTGGCTACTCTGCAAATGCCAAAAATAGACCATCCAAATAGATACACCTTACTAATTGAATTCAATTAACAGGGAATCATTTATGCATTTAAGACACACACACGTGCAAGATATTGAAATTTGTACTAGTGAGTAATACGAGTTGCTACTCACCGGGCATTCTAATATTTCCCCTTAGGGATCATTATGACAAATAGATTTGACTATTACTAGAATGCATAATAACAGATAGCTACTATATTCCTGTAGTTTTATAATTCATATAACCTCTTGTCAGAGGTGGAGCTAGAAGGTTACTTACGGGTTCTTTTGACCAAATCATGTATTTGTACTAAAAAATCTATTAAATATGAACAAAAAATAAATTTAGAAGTATGGTAGTCTACTAATGGTACAACACTGGCGCAAATTATGGTAGGGGTCTTCTTCTTTGTTTTCCATCATTCCATTTAGACCAATTATGATAGTAGTCTAATTGTACCACCATTAACACATTAATTTAATCGGTAGCCTTAGGAGGTATTTGTTTGTAAGATATTCTGTACAAAATTCAACAATTTTTATTTCTGCACCTAAAAAGGAAAGAATTCTAAAATCTCAGAAACTTTGGAAGATAGAGAAATGCTCAACACTTATCCGTGATTTTTTTCTAACTATACCGCATGCAGTTTCTGCTTTCTTATTAGCTTGGTGGTGTTTTTTTTTTTCTTTGACTATACCTCGTGAAGATAAAGAAATGCTCAAACTTCTTTTTTGCAAATGTTCCAATCACTAGCTCTAAATAACAAGCTATCTTTCCCGTGTTAAATTTTGCCTACATGCACAAATTTTAAAATCATATTGGCTTCCCTTGCCCTGGCCTTATATCCTAGCGTCGCCCCTTGTATAGGTGTTAAATGTATCTCTTGCAAATAGGGCATGAACTGAGCGGTGGATCAAGATGGGTGGGGTCAAAACAGGTTAATTAAAAGCATAGGTCATGATCCCAACGCATCAAAATATTGGTTAAATCATTTTAAGGTGGATCAAATGTGTTTTGAGTAGAGTCATAGCCTACCTGGAACTTCAACGTGTCTGTTTGAACTTCCATTCATTGTGACCTATTCTTAAGCAACACAAAAATAAATATTTCATTCAATATGCTTTGTGGTTTTGGTAATTCTAATGACATCGTATGATATAATAATTTGGTCTTACACTATTATGGTATTTAAAATTTTAGATTTTCGTGTCCAAATTCTATATTTTACATTTCTCAAATTATTTGATAGTTTCCGTATTAAAGTAAAACGGTCAGAAAAAAAGAAGTAAAATGGTCATAGAAGACCGGAGGCCAATTGACCGTACTTGTTTGTGATTCCATGAAAAAACTTTGAACAGTTTCATCCATTTATCTCAAAGGAGGTTACTAGCTATTACACAGACCTCCTGGGGAAAATGCACCGTAAAAACACCTAATTTTGGCAATTTAATTACCAAGTGGTTTCTCGTAATTTTTTATGTTGAATGGAGAAAATGGCATACAAGAAAATGACAAATAGGTCTATTATTTCAGAGATGGACCAGAATGTCAAAAGGATGTTGAAACTCATTGAAGAGGATGCAGATTCATTTGCTAAAAGGGCAGAAATGTATTATCAGAAAAGGCCAGAATTGATCACACTTGTTGAGGAATTCTACCGCATGTACCGGTCATTAGCCGAGCGTTATGATCATGTGACGGGGGAGCTCCGGAAAAATATTCCTTCAGATCTTCAATCACAGGGGTCAGGCATCTCTGACGTGGGTTCTGAACCACCCTCCAGGTTGCCCTCTCCTGATCAGAGACCAAGCCGTCCTAAACCTGGTCCTCGTGCTGCTGGATTTGAATTTTTTCTTGGCGCAGGCGGAAGTAGCTCGGATCTGGCCAAGGAAGGAGATGAATCCTCAACATTAGATTCTGAATCTGAATCAGATGATTCGTCTATCAATAATTACTCAAGTACAATAAGCAATGATGATGACCATGGGTTGCGTAAGAAGATTGGTGAATTAGAGGTTGAGCTCCGCGACGTGAAAGAGAAGCTTCGCAAGCAACATGAAGAGGTCTCTGAGAGCTCCTTTAGGGGATCACATGTGGGCAATGATAATCTTATCGCAAGGATAGCTGGGTATGAAGAAGACCTTAGAAATGCAAAAGAAAAGATCCGGTTATCAGAAGAAGAGATTAGCAGGTTGAGAATTGAGCTTCAGAAGTATGTATCAGGGGACTACGTGAAGAACGTCAATGAGATTACTGCTGGACAGGAAGCTAAAATTTCTGATGAGGAGCTGCAAGAGAATGCTACAGAGGAAGAACCACAAGTTTTGGACCCAGAATCTAAGATCCGAACACTTGAGGAAGAGTTAAGGAGAACGATAGAGAAGCTTCATGATTCAGAGAAGGAGGTGGAGCGCTTAAGAGAGGAACTTAAAAGTAACGGTTCCTCCGTAAAATTACTTCATGATCAGCTTGGATCAGCACAGAAAGATGTTTCTGGCTGGAAAGCCAAACTTGAGAGAGAGAAACGAGAGGTCTCAAAGCTGCAGGACCGAATTGCGAGGTACAAATCCAATTTGTCAGACCGTGATCAAGAAATCAGAGGGCTGAAAGAATCAATATCAAATGCCAACAAGGCTTTGGCAGAAGAAAACTTGGAACTTCAATGCGAAATTACCAAATTATTGAAGGAACGAGCATATTTGGAGGATAATATCAAAGAAATGGATCTACGTTGCCAATCATTAGAGGAGGATGTTAGACGAGCTGTAGCAGGGAAAGAAGAAATGGAAATGCTCCTAAAATCTGAAATCGAGCAGTTAAAGTTGACCATCGCTGAGAGGGACAACCATATTGAAGAACTGAACAGAAACCTTGATGCATTATACCAGAAATGTGATGCATTGGAAACAGAGAAAGATGACCTAAATGCTAGAGTTGCCTTGTTAGATGAAGATCTAAGTTCTAAAGATGATCAGATTGATCAAATGAACAACCATTTGAACCAACTGCACATTGAGCATGCCAAGTTGATTTCCGAAACTGAAGGGGCCCGTAAATTGGTAGAAGAGCTGAGGTCTAGAGTTAAAGAAGTGGAAAGAGAAGTAGAGAGACAAAAGGAAATAGTTTTGGAAGGAGCAGAAGAGAAACGCGAAGCAATTAGACAGCTTTGCTTCTCACTCGAGCACTATAGAAATGGTTACCAAAGGCTTCGACAAGCTTTGGAGCATAAGAGACTACCTGTAATGGCGGCCTAAGTCCATTAGTGATGGTGAGCAGACGTTATGATCATCTCAAACTCTGCTTTTTTGTTGTCCAAAACACCTTTTTACCTTCTTGCTTTTCGTTTAGGGTTCAGTTTTTCTTTTGTTCAATAGCTCCTTTTGTTAGGCATTTGCCTTCCCAGTATTCCAGCTTTTCTATGTCTGTAATTGCAGGAATACCAGTTGTGGTTTTCTAAATATCTGTGCACTTTCTTACCATAACAGAAACCAATATGAATAACATTTCAGCTTTGTATGAAGTCTAATTTCGAACAACCATAGCACCAAACTATGGCTGAAACCGTCAAGCTGAAGAAACGACACAATTCGAAGCACAGAGGAAGTAGGTAATAGAACAACTCAATGTATAACAACACATCTTGTAAATTGTGTTCCCTTTGCAGATGAGATGAACTACAGTAAAACCTCACCAAATTAATATTCGGTAAATTAATAATCTCTTTAAGATAGTATTTTCCTACGATTTCGACTTGAGGCAAAGAAAAAAATCACTTATATTGATAAGATAATAAGATAATATATTTTCACAAATGGTATAAATCAATAATTCTTTAAAACTACAAGTATATCTAAGATAATTTAGTGAAATGTGATTCTATTGTGTTTTGTTTTTTTGGTAAACTTTAAATCTAGTTGAAGTTGATCATCTCTAACTTTTCTTATTGCATCCAAAAGTCCTGATGTTGTCTTTTTTAATTGCTCCATAAAATTGTGAAGAGTTCTAGATGATAAGTGTTTCCTTACGCATAACTGGTTCTAAAGGTATTGTATCATCTACAACTTCATTATCAACATTGATTTTTATGGTATCCACAATTTCTTTTAAGCTTTAGACCTCTGAATATGTATCATTTTTACCTGGATAATCCAATAGGTTATTGATGTCCATTTTATTGCGGTATGAGATCATTGATCATTACCTCAAGTTTATGAATGACATTTTCACAAGTGGGTTCATTCAAATTCTATGATATTTCATCCTCCAAACAAATTTTGCAATGTCGAAAATAATTTGTTGTTGTCTCTTGCTGAACATTTCTCGTCCAAGCCAGGATTACAAAGTTGATAACATACAAAACAATAATCTTTCTTGGATCAGTTTCATGTCACACTTCATAGCCTTTTAATTATCCTACAATAAAATATGTTCCGATAATACATTTTGAAATCTCTTATTATCCCAGTATCACAAGGTTAAGTCTCAAAAACACTCTATAAATTAATAATTATTAATTTATCAATCAAATAGTACCTCTACAAAATAATAATATTTCACGGCCCCATTTATATTAATTTAGTGAGGTTTTACTGTATGTGATGATGTTGATGTGCATAGACATGCATGCTAATTATTTGAGATGATTGTTTCCATTGTTGAGTCTATATAACCCTTGAGTTGCTGCATGTCTTGTTGGAATGTATGCGTCCACTAGTCTAGATGGGACCAGGTCCTCAGCACAGTTACAATAACAGAAAATAAACAAAGTGTTGAAAGTAAAGATTGCACAACAACTTTACGTGGAAACCTTCTTGCCCAAGGGAGTAAAACCACGACCTAGCTTGCCAGGACTTTTCAAACTTCTTTTACTAATCTTCTCAAGCAAAAGTAAAAGCAAGTTTACAAACCGAGATTAGCCTACTAATCCCAACTCTAAGCAATACCTCTTATTACTTAGATGAGCCAGAGCAGATACAACACTGCCCACTAAGCTATCACCCTTAGATAACTTAGACTTTGCTAAGCGGATACAACACCGCCCACTATACTAATCCTAACCGATTAATATAGACTTTTAGAGTAAGAACCTAAGTTACCCTTAACCTAGTTCTTACAATGATTCAAACAAGTTTGAAATGTTTCTTTCACAAGTGAAACGAATCCTACAATATCAGAACTATTACAAGCAAACAAAAGCAGCTGGTACATAAAGTAAATCACAACACTTCAATCAGGTCCCTTGCTGTTTTGAAGCTTGAAAATCTCTCTCTTTGAATGAATGAATGAATAATATTGTTGTATGTTGTTTGATATATACCATGAAGAGTTATTACCAAACGTACAAGCAACCTCCTTGCTTTTGATTGGTGGAGTACTTTGCAGCTCACCAACTTTCTAACGCAGACAACTTTCCAGCTGTCCAGCATTTTGACCACTGGACGAGTATTCATACTCTGCAGAGGACCAGGTCCCTGCACTTGTGAGGAGATCATCAAAACACCAAAAGGCATAAGTTCTTATCAATTTCCTTATATTTGATGATGACAAACAACCTGCATAACTCCTCACGTGAGTGAACATACATTCATTCAATAATTGGTGTTTCCCCCTTAATTGAACAAGCAACCTCGTCACTTCTGATTGGTGAAGTACTCTGCAGATTCACCAACTTTCTGACGCAGACAACTTTTACAGCTGCACAACATATTGACACTGGATGAGCATACTCTGCAGAGGACCAGGTCCCTGCACTTGTGAGGAGATCATCAAAACATCTAGGAGTTTTAGCACTTATAATTTTCCCCCTTTTTGATGATGACAAACAACCAGTAACAGCAATGTTCCCCCTTAGTATGTTCCCCTTAGTTCAATGCCCCTAATTTCACAGTCAACATTTATTCCCCCTTAGTTCAATGCCCCTAATTCCACAGCCAACCTTTACAACAAAACTTCTCCCTATTGACATCATTGAAAAGGTGAAGCAGTAAACATATTCAAGTTAAATGCAAGGCAATAAAGAATTCAGGGCCTTGGGCCACACAGAACATGTGTATGTAAGCATAAAGAGAATATTAAACCACACATGAATAGGGCACAAAACAAAAAAGAGTTGATACCATATATACTGACCACTGTAGGTTGTCATACTAACAAAAAGCCACAGGAGTTTTAATTAGGATTGAAGACCAGAGAGGGAAACTAGGGAAACAAGACACTTTTAGGACGGAGGGGGAAAAGGATTGAGGGTGCGCATAAACAGAGACAGACACTCATTTGCCTTAACTTCCTCACTGAGTGAGGCATTTGTCTTCAGCAGCCTTTTATTTTCATCCCTCAACTTTTACAACACCTGCTAATTTCCATCACTGGTACCAGGTCCCCTCGAAACTGCCTTCTGTAATTCAGACTTCAGTGTAGCGATTTCAATCTCTTTGTTATTCAGAATCTCAGTAAGATCCGTCACTTCCCATTTAATAGCAGCCTGCTACTCTAGAACATCTGCCACTTGAGATCTGCCTCTAGCTTTTCCTTCAACACATTCACATTCCAGCATAATGGCAGGGGTTGATATCTTCAAGTTCATCAGGCTTCTCCATGTGAAAAAGATCAACAACAGATGCCACTGTTCTCATTTCAGTTCTGGGCACTAACACCTTGTTGGTGAACTCAAAAAGCAACTGATGGAGATAACATAAAAAAGATTTGACATTCCAAATTTGGTTAGAATATCAGGGTCAAAGACTCTGTCATTCAAAACCTTCTGGTTCTCCATTGCCGTTATCCGATCCTCCCTTGTCATTTCCTTTTCTTCACTTTGTTTTTGCACACTAGGACCTGGTCCCTTTATGAGTTTTAATTTTCAGCCACCTGTTTTTCTAACTTTTTCCCTTTTCACAGGAGATTTCTTTGCAGCCTTCTGGAGTAGAAAAAGAGAAGTTGAATGAACTAGGATTTTCAACTTCTTGGGAGATAGGGATCTTTGAAGAAGAATTAGAGTTAGGCATTTTGAGAAAGAGAGAAAAGCTTTGGAAAGAGGATTAGTGAATTTCAACAAGAATTGTTTGAATAGATTTTGTAATTTGATTCACTAAGAGAAGTAGTATATAAAACCAAAAAGACATCGGGTCCCCAAACAGTAACGACCTTTTGGTTTAAAAGCAAAAAGACGTATGAAACTGATGCGATGAATGGGCGAGAGACATGTGGCAGTGATGTTGAGATACATACAGTGTAGCGTACGTGATACTAACCTCAGGAGGACCAGGTCCCTTTTTTAGTTTGCAACCATGTCTGTATGATTTAATCTTCCCTTCAGCTAGACACACCATGAGTGTATACCTGCATTAATGTACCAGAAGTGAATTCTTAAGTGACAAGCATTAAAACAAGTATAGATACATGCCCTCCGTAACATAGTCAAAATAGAAGATTTTTGTGCAAACTTTGTCAAGGAATCAGGTAATCTTGTGCATCCCCAGCCTCATCTTGTTTTTAATGAAATATTCTTTACTCAATGCCTTTGTAAAGATGTCAGTCAACTGATTTTCAGTTTTGCAGAACTTCATCACCACATTTTGCTTTTCAACATTGTCCCTTAGAAAATGATGCCTCACATCTATGTGTTTTGTCCTCTTGTGCTGGACAGGATTTTTGGCCATGTTCATGGCACTAGTGTTATCACAAATGAGAGGAATGGTGTCTGAAAGTACACCAAAGTCTTCTAGCTGTTGCTTGATCCATAACAGTTGTGCACAACATGATGCAGCAGCCACATACTCTGCCTCTGCAGTAGACAATGCCACAGAATCCTGCTTCTTTGTTCCCCATGAAATCAAAGCTGATCCCAGGAAATGTGCCATGCCTGATGTGCCCTTTTGATCAACCAGAAAACCTGCATAATCAGCATCTGCAAAACCAATTAGATCAAATGAGTCACCTGTTGGGTAGAAAAGGACCAGATCCTGAGTTCCCTTCAAGTATCTCAGGATATGTTTGGCTGCCTTCAGGAGAGACTCCTTTGGTACTGCTTGAAACCTTGCACACATACTTACGCTGAACACTATATCCAGCCTGCTTGCAGTGAGGTACAAAAGTGATCCAATGATTCCCCTGTACATGGTCTGATTTACCTCCACACCATCTTCTTGGTTGTACCCCTGCACTACGAGTCTTGACTTTTTTCTGGTAATTGTCCCATGTTCATCTAGTTTGTTTCTGAAGACCCATCTTGTCCCTATAATGGTCCTGTTGATAGGTCGGGGGACCAGGTGCCACACTTTGCTTCTCTCAAACTGATGGAGTTCTTCTTGCATTGATGTTTCCATCTGGACTTTCTGATCAACTCTTCTTCAATTTCAGCATCAGATTCAGTATCATCATCTTCATAATTTTGAGATGGAACCTTTTGGGTAGTATCAAGAGAACCAGGTGCTCTTGTGAGGTCTGCAACAATTTCCTTTGTAACTTGTTTGTTTCCAGGGTTTTGGATATCCTTGTCTTCCCATTCCTAGATCAGCTCTT